GGATCACCTCGGATTTACACCATATGAAAAATAAATATGTTCAAAAAACTTCTCAACAGGTCTCAGCAGTGGCCCGTCCTTCGACCTCGAGCGCACACAAGTGTTTCCGCTGTGGTGGTGGCGGTCACCCTACCTCCGGCTGTACACAGTCGAGGGATGTGGTGTGTTTCCGGTGTGGACATAAGGGAGTCAGAGCACCTGAGTGTCCGAAATGCAATGCCAAGCCAAAAAACGAGTAAGTCAGGGCCTTGTTAAAAGATCACCAGTCGAGTCGGAGCGAGTTTCTCTGTCTGATGATCACTCTGATAGGGTCCTGTTTACCAAACGGGATAATGATATAAGACCGTATTTAGTAGTTAAGATCCTGAACTTAAATGTTCTAGGGTTACTTGATTCGGGTGCAGCTTGCTCTGTGTTGGGTAAGGGAGCGCACCACATTTTTTTTGAATTAGGGTTTGAGCTTGAAAGCATCAGCCCTAACTTTAACCTAACTACAGCAGACGGCTCATATTTGCCATGTCTGGGCTGTATTTCTTTGCCTATTGAATATAATTCTGCTGTCAGAGTTATTAAGTTTTATGTTGTTCCAGAGATTACTACTGCCATGATATTTGGTGTAGACTTCTGGCAACAGTTTCAATTGGGGAATAGACTGATCTCTCAGAATATCAATCTTTCCAACTTTAGCGACTGTAATCCTGTGGAGGCTCTGTCTCTTAACAGTGGTCTAGAGGATTACAACAATTTGACCGCCGATCAGAAGCGGGTAATTAACTGCATCATTGAGAAGTTTGATACGATCAACACGGACAAGGTTGGTTTAGGTCGAACATCTCTAGTGCATCATGTCATAGACACAGGAGACAGTAAGCCAATCAAGCAAAGGTACTATCCGCTCTCTCCCCTGAAACAGAAAGCCTTGGAAGAGGAACTGGACCGGATGTTGGAGATGGGAGTAGTGACCCCATCTCAGTCCGCGTGGAACTCACCAGTGGTGATGGTGGAGAAAGCGAATGGTGACCTAAGATTGTGCCTTGACTCTCGTAAGCTCAATTCTGTGTCTAAGAGCGATGCGTATCCATTGCCGTATATCAACCAAATCTTAGACCATCTCAATAATGCAAGGTATTTGACTTCCATTGATTTAAGTGCGGCGTATTGGCAGATTCCTTTTGACTCGCCTCAATCCGCCGAGAAGACCGCCTTCACTGTCCCAAGAAGGGGTCTCTTTCAGTACAACGTTATGTGTTTCGGTCTCATCGGAGCTTCAGCTTCGATGCAACGCCTCATGGACCGCCTATTTGGTCCCGAGTTCGACAATAGGGTATTCGCATTTCAGGATGACATAATCATTGTGGCCAGCACCTTTGAGGAGCATGTGGACCTCTTACATAGAGTCTATCAGCGCCTTAAGGATGCGGGTCTCACGATCAACATGCAAAAATCGCATTTCTGTCGTAGCGAATTGAAATACCTCGGGTACTATGTTGACAAGCATGGCCTGCGGACAGACCCAGGTAAAGTTGATGTCATTCTCAACTATCCTACACCTTCCAATGCTAAGGAGGTGAAAAGATTCCTGGGCATGGCTGGGTGGTATAGGCGTTTCGTAAACAATTTTTCTAAGATTAGTAAACCCTTATGTAAATTAACTTCTAAGAATGTATCATTTGAATGGACGCGTGAGGCTGAAGAGTCTTTCAACCTGTTGAAGGCCGCTTTGGTCTCCGCTCCTATTTTGAAAATGCCTTACTACTCATTGCCTTTTAGGATTCTCAGTGACGCGTCATCCTTCTCTGTGGCTGCTGTACTCACGCAGACACATGAGGGAGTGGAACACCCTATCGCGTATTGTAGTCGTTCTCTTAACAAAAACGAAGTCAACTACAGCACCACTGAGCGAGAACTCCTAGCGGTGATCTTTGCTCTGGAACAGTTCAGGCAGTACGTGGAAGGCCAGAAATGCACCGTAGTTACGGACCACGCCTCGCTGTTGTGGTTCCGTAAACTTAAGAATCCGACAGGTCGCCTGGCGAGCTGGAGCATGAGGTTGAGCCAGTTTGACGTCGATATAGAGCATCGAAAAGGTAAAGACCATGTGGTACCCGATGCTCTGTCTCGAATTCAGATTGACACAATAGTCACCAGCGTTACTAGGGACTCTTGGTACCTCCACACTCTAGACAGGGTAAAGAAGAACCCTCAGCACTTCCCCAACTTTGATATACGGAATAACTGTTTATACAGGCTATCAAAACAGAAATACTCTCTGACTTCTGATTTTGAGTGGAAGCTGGTGGTGCCGCTGGAAGACAGGTTATCCCTGCTCACCAAGTACCATGACGACGTCATGAGTGCCCATGGGGGTGTTTGGAAAACCCATAAACGTTTGGCCCTCTACTATTACTGGCCTAAGATGTACGAGAGTGTCAAGGAATATGTAGACAAGTGTGAGACTTGTAAGCAGTACAAACCTGTGAACACTACTCGTCCCGGCCTAATGGGGAATCCGAAACGGGTGTCTAGACCCTTTGAGGCCATCTCGTGTGACCTGCTGGGTCCATTCCCTACTTCCAGCAAGGGAAATGTTCATTTAATTGTGGTCTCGGACTATTTCAGTAAATATGTCATGTTCTGTTCTATACGGATAGCAACAGGCGTTGCTGTCGCGAGATTTATAGAAAAGAATGTTTTTTTAGTCCACGGGGTTTGTAAAACCATTTATATGGATAATGGCCCACAGTTTGTTAGCAAACCGTTTAGGGACTTGTTGGTTAAGTACAATGTGCCTAACATTTATTATAATCCTCGATATCACGCACAGACCAACCAGGCAGAGCGAGCTATACGCAACGTGGTTCAGGGAATTTCCTGCTATGTGAAGTCACATCACAGGAAATGGGACGAGAATCTCGTGGAACTCCAGTGTGCCCTAAACACTGCTGTCAGCGAAGCCACTCGTTTCAGTCCATATTTTCTTGTTCACGGTAGGGAACTCATAGGGGATGGAGTTCTTTATAGACAGACAGAGATTCCTGCCCATCCCAATTCTGTTTCCATCGACAGTCCAGTGTCCTTTGGTGAGAGATTGAAGGAACTACATCGGATATACGACCAGGTGAGGAATTACTTAGATATTGCTCACCGGCGTAACACACACAGACAAATAAGAAATAGGTATCGGCCCCGTACCGCAAATTGGTAATAAGAAATGTTTTCAAAGATTTTTTTCAAGATGTTTTAATTTTTATATTCTTAGATGTGAAATATTTCTTATCACATTTAACTAACAAATGGAAACAAATGGAAGTAACAAATAAGTGTAACAGTTATTTTTTTGTACATTTGTAATGCGTACGGTCTTGTTAAAAGCTACATCTATTGGCCGCGTTGCATTGTTGTTGATTTATCTAAGGTAGTTTATAACTACAGTTTTGATCTTCTGTGTTCACTGATGTTAAATGTCAAAGTAAAATGTTGAGTAGGGATAAAGTCTGGAAGCTTCCTGAACCTAGGATATATAAGTCCGGCTTTCTGCCACGGGAGACACTCTGCTATCTCGTGTCTTCAAATCTTAAATAGTGTTCTGATTGTTGTGTGATTTAATTGTCGTAATATACTTTCTGTTCAAATCTACCCACGAAAGTGGTAAGTATGTTGTTAATTCTACTTAAACCTATTTGTTTCTGGAACCTGTTTAATTATATGAGTGCTAATCCATTCGTAGGGTCCCAGATTTCGGGCTCAAGACGGTCAGTCTCAGACGGCGTGCTTGCTCTTTTGTGGCCTTCTGGTACATACTCAAGTTTCTCGGTACCCTCTGGCAAAGCTGGTGATTGCGCGGCTCACGACGCAAGCGGACAGCCGTACCCAAGAGTTACGTACTTAAACTTATAATTGCCAATTGTTAAACTTTTATCCATATCTAATATAAATAGCCGACTCGGGCGGAAGAGGAAGTAACCTCCTGGAGGGACGACGAGGAGGCACCGAGCACCATCAGCTCGGCTCTAACGCGCTCCGCTGCGGTTTTTTTTTTCCTTTTTCTTGTACCCACACTGTTTAATTTATTTAATTTCTTATTGTAAATTTGATTACTTTTTTTTTGAAATATACATGTATGTATAACTGAGGTGTAAGTTGTTTTCCTCTAAAGAGTCCCATAGGTTTCCCACACGCACACACTTCTATTCTCATACAAGGCGCCCTGAGGTAATCTCTTGAATCTCTCCACTGGGTCAGCCGGTGAGTAGTCCGCCAGAGAGGAAAAGCGGCTACATAAGTACAGTTAGGTACCAACCAATTCACTTAAAAAGGGAGTATTTAAATCGGTTTGCGATATAATGACATACATACGCCTTATGATGACTTTGGTTCGACCACTTACGTGCATGAAACGGACACAAAGAACACCCAGACTCGGAACAACAATTTGTGGATCGCACAAAGTGTCGTCCCATGTGAGGATCGAGCCCTCAACACTCAGCGTAGTAGTAAGTGGCGTGGCGACCGCTTAAACCACTACGCCATCTGTGCAGTCATCCAGAGCATCCGTGCTCTCCTTTAATTTGTGTCATTGAAATATCATCATCATTATCAAGAGCCTGATCCACTGCTGGACATAGGCCTCTTATTAGAAAGCAGATTTTGGCCTACCATACCACGCTGGCCAGACGGGTTGGGTTAAAATAAGTTGTATCAAGTTTTCCTCCTTTTTAGAGTGCTTTTGTGCTGCGTAGTTTGCTCCCTTAGTCGGATCTTGGATCTTACGACAAACATGGGATGAATAGGGGTGTTGACACTCCGTATTCTTTATCCGTCACCACACGGACAACGGAAACATAAAATATAAACACTTCAGGCCTATAAGTAAAAATATTAGTTTCAAAGAAATTAATCATGCCTATTAGTTTTCTCTCGTGCGGAAAACAATTAACACTTTATCTTAATGAGGTGTTAGGAACAGGACTGGTGGATACAGTCCTAACGACATTTTCAATATGGACGCGCTGGCGATCACATTCAGCAGTATCATATTACTGACAAGATCAACAAACGCAGGTAATTTAGGAAAACATTTTAAAAGATTCACGATTATCTTTTCTTAGAAGAACACAACACAACCGCTACTGCCAAATTAAGTTATTTCAGATATTATTATTTCCCATGAAATATACAAATTAATTTCGTATGGTAATAGATTAAGAATACGGAGTGTCTCCTCTTCCATTCATCCCGTAAGTGTCATATGAGCCGACTAAGGAAGCAAACTACGCAAGACAATAGCACTGCAGAGAGAAGGAAAATTTGACACAAACGCTAAACCAACATGTATAGTTCCTAAAGAGAGGCCTATGTCCAGTCGTGGACCACTAAATACTTTTGATGATGTTGATGTAAATGAATAGGAAAATGATTCTTAAAATACTAACTTGCACTATAACTAGCTTAACATGTGCTTAACAATATGTACTTACAAATAAAGAGCAAAAATTACATGAGAAATGATTTACTTTGAACTTGTTTAAGATGAGTATACAAAAGTAACGTGATTTGATATTGTACGGAGGGCTTATCTCAGTCCAGTAAGATGTAAATTAACAATAATTAGCAGTTTCCTGTCATTAATACGTGTTCTTTCAACTAAAAAAATTTCAGTTCCACCAAGTGCCTGTTTCGCTAACTTTAGATGGGAAGATTGCGGTAGAGATCCAGAGCCAAAAATGTACTACTGGAAACCAGGCTCCCGTTGCGAAGTCGGTATATGGCGAGGCTGTCTGCCAAGCCTCAATATGTTTAAAGATGAATACGAATGCGTTTCGACATGTGTATTTTCTGTGAGGGCTCAGCCAAGTGATTATCATAACAAACAAGCTTTAAATGGGGATTATGAAGAGGGTGATAATTCTGGTGAAATTACTACTGTTGATGATATGGAGATGTCAACTTTGTTTGCCAACACTACAGGTCCAGAAGGTGATGTTACTGATGACAATGCAAATAATACTAATGTGGAAGATACAACTACCTTATCCGTAGACAGTGGTGACACGACAGACGACAGCAATAAGTCAAACGAAGACGGAAATTCTGATACACCTGAAGATGCTACGACAGACTCATCTGACGGTATAGAAACAACTGCTGTATTATCTGAGGATTGATGATGATGTAGCACCAGATTAATTTAAATAAAAAAATATTAAATAAAAGTATCATTTATCTACTTCTTTATTAATTAGCAATTAAACTTAATTTTTTTTTACTTTCTGCGCATTGCTAAGTCACTTCATTTCATATTATTCTTTTTCCATCCTCACGTCTAAGCTGAATAAAAAAAAACAATTGAAAGTCGAAAATCGTATGTTGCACATTTTTAAAAGAAGAACCTCATAGGTATCATGTGAAAACAGTTTCACACGAAAATCTCGTCATGAAGGTTTTATGTCAATTCAAAGTATCTATTGCTATACAACGGCAACTTCATACTTTAACTCCAATTATTAATATCATATCAAAAAGTAAATGCAACACGCATCATTTACAGAAACTTAATCATTTACAGAATCAATTACAGAATCAAAGCATCATTTACAGAAACTGTATGTTATTTTTCTTTTTTTTTTCTTAGCAAAGTTGATTGGTATACAATCTTTTTTGTTTTCGAAAACATATACCGGCTGATTTTAAAAATATAACTACTTGCTTGTGTTTTGTTTTCGTTAAAATAAATGCTAATTATTGCTGATGAAATGCAAAGAGCTGTAGGAATCCTACAAGCGGGAAATGAAATGATGAAATGATATTTATTTCTGTAAGTAAATCTTTTCAGATATTTTTACAAGTCGGACTTTACAGCTAGATGGAGCCGGCATTTTCTAAGTCTCACTCCGGGAAGAAACGCTGAAACGAACTACAGAGGTTAGGAGAAATTGTCAAGTAAATCATTTTACGTCATATAGAATGCAAGAAATCAGTGTCAGGTATCACGGTATTTTGGTGTCAATAGGAGCGTGATTTGTCGTCTTAGGCAGCGATATGTTAATAAAGGGGATCCTGCTGAACAGCACCCAAGATGTGGAAGGAGTACAACTGCTCGACAGGACTGATACATCGAGAGATAAGTTTAAAGCTACAAACAAGCGGTGTTGTTCTTACCGTTCAAACTGTAAGAAATAGGCTGCATGAATACGGCACGATGGCTACTTGACAACATTGAAAATATTCTCCAAATTATGGTCATCCTATTAGTTTACTTATTTTTACGCTAATTGTTGTACATTTTTAAGCAAATTTTGAGTTTTTTTTATTATTTTATCTCGGACGGGTATGTCCTATTGGACACATGTCTGTGACGACACCGCAAGAGTCACAAGTGTCAAAAGTGAACCATAGATTCAAAGATAAAAAGTGAACAATACAAACAATCTTCATTTGTAATCTACAAATGAAGATCGAACCGAAGAACCTTAGTTCGATTTTAAGTGCGCATTTTTATGTTTTTTGAGTGGTTTAGTTATTTCTAAAAGCATTTTCTATTAGATTCTGAAAGAACTGGTATAAATATCGCTAATTGTAACCACTCGTCTTTTGGGATTCATTGGCACAGAAGCAAACAGTTTGTGTTGAGTAGTTTTAGACGTATTTTTACATTTTGACACTACACACCATTTTATCTAATATATCTTAACAAAAATAATAAAACTCACTTTATAACCACGTCAGCACTGTTTTGTTTATGTCATATGTCAATTACGTTACGTCGTGCTCTCGGGGCCTTGGCGGATTTAGAAATTTAAACTTTAATTGTGATTTTTAAATATAAATAGATCTAATTTCCCGGCAATATTAACGTACTATATACAATTTCACGTATAGAATTAATTTAAATCATTTTTTAAACTTAGTCAAATAGCTTATTAGGTGCCATCTTTACGCCATGGAAATCGTGGCCGGCAAAACGAATGGTGTAGGGAACACCTGACATAGACCTAGGAGCAATGGGATAAAAATTTATTTTACGATGAGTCCCGATTCGGATTTAGAGGCCTAAATCTAATACGAGAAGTTTAGTATCGTCGTGCCGCAATGCTGAACGGTTACGATGCGTCCAGGAAGTGCATCCTTACAGTGGCTCCACAGTGATGGTATGGGCGGGTATTATCAAGAACAGACGAACTGAGCTTGTTTTTGTAGATGAAACATCCGTGTATTGCCGTGACCTGCACAATCGCCAGACCTCAATACCATCGATCACGCATGCTCCAGAGACGTATTCTAGAGAAAACAGAAATTGCTGCTATTGTGTGAGTTGATCTATGACTTTATAGTCTATACGAGAGACGATTTCAAATAGTTTAAAACTCAAAAGAAGAAATAAAGCTAAAAAACAATTCATTGTGATTAAATAAACAATTGAATGAAGGATTTTGTTTTTATTAGTCCCTAATGCTTAAAAGAATGCTTAATAACTATTTATAGAAGAAATAAAAATATTTATTGGATAAATCGCGCCTTTAGAGACGATTTATTTTTCGTGCCTATGTGTGTGTGCACGACAACGACGAGTGGAGACCTTGGGCAGTGGGGTACAGCCGCTAAGGCGTTTGTACATGAGTACCTGTCACCTGTCACTTCGTTCAGCCTGCGCCCTACAGGCTGAACGAAGTGACAGGTGACTCCCGCTCAGATACATATGCCGCTCAATAACACCCAGATATGGTGGGAATCGAACCTACGACCTCAGGCTTAGCAGTCACGATCACTAACCACTAGACCAACAAGCCCCTCGACACATACTATGTAACTGTCACAGAAATTACGTAGTCATTCAGAAATATGTATGTATGTACTTCTTCTGAGAAATAGATTTATAGGCAAAATTCAGCAAAACCACAAGTAAACACGAAATAATAGCGTCAGCCAATCATATTCCTCCATTCCCAGACAGACCCGACTGTAACCTTTAAGAGAAAAGGTTAGAAATGTTTTATACCACTTTATCTTGTAATCCTTGAGGAACTATCTGACAGGCAACCATTCTTCACCTTTGGCACATGTCCTTTTGATATATAGTCATTGTATCATATTGTCATCTACCGTTTTATAAAGACCTGTAACAAAACACGACTTTCCCGAAATCCAGTTCATATTTCAAAGGTCTTGTGGTCTGGTCGGTGCAGTATCAAATGTTGAATAGATGTATGTTATATTTTGGATATATCTTTGTCTTAGAACCGTTGCTTTGTTGAGTCTGTGTATATATTTTTAAATTCAAATTATTTATTTCGGTCGGTACTGGTCGCAGGTAGTCGTATGCCCTCCACGTAAACTTAGTCTACAGGCTGCAGATGTAAAATGAATGGCAGAAAGCTTTAAATTTGGATTTTTCTTTATGGAGCATGGCTCTCCCATTTATTGTATGTATATAGTAGTAGTATAAATAGTATTGTGATGACACATTTCCACAATGTCAACTTTCAAAGAATCAAAGTGAGCAAATTAACAAGGTATTCTTACAGAATATCGAAAAAGCCGAAAAATATCCTCCGAATTATGGTCCTTTCGTCGCAAGGCCAACCCAGACCCTTTACTATAATAAATAAATAAAATAAAAAATAATTTATTGCCAAGTGATTTACTAACATAGTTCTCTTTAACATTGTTTAAAAAACACACTGTTTTCTTCCCAGAGTGAGTCTTAGGAAATACCGGCGCCTTCTAGTTGTAAATTCCGACTTCAAAAAACATCTGAAAAGATTTACTTGCAGAAACAAATATCACGAATTTATCTGCTTGTCATATCAGTGAGTATTGTCTCGGTAACACCAGTGTAATTGTTGAATGATTATTTATATTTCTTGAAATTGGATTTTAAAAAGAAAAACAGTGACATGAAGAAAGTAAAGTGATTGATTGCTAATGTTTATATAATTACCGTGGGAAAGCCATGCTAAGGCATATGGGACGGCCACACCAGTGTGATACCACTCACAGACAACTAGTCTGAAGCAAAGCTGTTTATTTTTACCGAGTGAGGGAGATGAACTTTGCTCCTTTGCCACCTATACCATAAAAAAGTTTAATTTATATTTTTATTGGTCTTGAAGATACTAAACTAAAAAAAAAATGCCTCTAAAGCATCTAACTACACATAATAAAATATTGGTTCAACGGATACGTCAAATATATATTATAATGCAATTAAAATATTACTATATTTATATAAAAGTATCAACAAAATCCTCCGCATCATAGCCTACTGGTAGCGTTCCCAGAAAATTGGCAGCATTACCACGTTGAATGGTTAATTCTCTGTAAAGGCTATCCAGCCAGATCACGAGAAGTGTCGATCAGTTGCTTAGTTAAGCTTTAGTTGTTTATACAAAGCGCAACCACTCGGACCCCATGACCCTAGCGTCTCGACCCCAAACGGTTAGAAAATGTAATCTCCTACTAAGTTTTCGTATTTACGTCGTTTGAGGCTCACTGCGAAAGCAAAGTTACGTGAATGATTTTGATATTTGATTTTACATTTCAGTACATATCATCATCAACAGCCTTTAGCAGTCCACTGCTATGTACCATCTAAAAAATCACGATAAACATAACCCGCCTTTGCAGTAGGGAAAAAGACATCTTACTCCAATCAATTAAAAGTTAGTTTTAATATATGAATAGTAAATATATACGAATTTCATTTCACTTACAACCCCTTACAAAGTCTCAAACATTTGCACCTATCGTAGTTGCGGTCAATAGATACCATCCGTAAACGATTGGAAATGTTGGACTCCGTTGTAGGTGCTTCGCGTGATAAATTGTGTAAGAACCAACTTTTAGCTTCGGCCGAGAAAATCCTAAAACGATAAGCTTAGCAAAATTGGTTTGAAATTTTAATTTAAGCGCCGCAAAAAAGTGTACGCTTTCACTGTGGCCTAATTTGCAATAAATAAGGATTTAGAAGACGTAGATCCATTGGAGCAATGAGAGATTATTATTTTAAATTTAAAAGTCATGAGAAGTTGGTCATAATTAGTTCTTCGCTTAAATTCAGTTTTGCACAAAGTTTAAATTTCCTTTATTTACAAATTGAACTCTTTACGTTACACTAGATGAGTGCAGAATAGAAGAATCCAAAAAAATTACGTTAAAATGTTTCATT